TGATTAAACTACCTCTACTATTTATATTTATAAACACTATTTACATAATAAAAGTCTAAAATTTTAAACAAATATAAAGTTATTTCATATTAAAATTCGATATAGATGCATTTATATTTTTAGGATATTTACAAGTCATGACAAAAAGCATTAAAATAAAATAAAAAATAAAAAGTGTAACTCTTCATTTCTTAATTTTTCTAGGATGAACATTTTTAATTTTAGATAAAGTTGACTAAACAAACTATTATAATAATTTTTCAGGTATTTGGTAAATTTTGATTGGATGGAAGAGATGCTTAATTAATAATAACATATGGTACACGATGAAAAGCAATGAGATTAAACGCACATTAAATTCGAGCAACTTCATAACATTGAAATAAAGTATTATATAATTATGAAAATAAAATTATACAAAAAGTTAAATGGTACCTCTTGTGAAATCAATTCACGAAAAGGAAACAATCCTAATAAGGAACCACGAACTCGAAACCACGAAAGTGAACCTCAACCTCAACTTTTGTTTGTGAGTGAAAGAAAAATATAAAATAAAATGTGAGTTTTTTTTCCTCCTTCTGGCGTTTTGTGTGTATATATTTTGCTGATTTTTTTCTCTTCCTTTCTTTTGTTGTGTGTCATGTATATGTGTTGGTTGTTGTAGTATTGTGTTGTGTAATTGGTTGCTGATTTTTTCTTTGCAGAGTGTTTGTGTGTTCTGTAGTGTTTTCTTAGGATAGTTTTTTTTCTTCTTGGGTTGTAGGATTTTTTGACTTACTGTCCGTGTGTGTGTTGTGCAGAATGGTTGTTAATATAGTAGTGTATGTGTGTTGTGGTTTTGTGCAGATTGTGGGGGTGGTGAGTGTGTCTGTGTTGTGTCGTGTGTGTGTTGTGTATGTAGTATATAGGAGTGTGCAGAGGAGTTGGGTAGTACGTGTGTATGAGTGTGTAGTGGTGTAGTATATGTGTAGTGAGTGGAGTGGGGAATTATGGCAAAGTGAGGGTGAGGGTTGTGGGAAATGGGAAGAGTAGTGGGGGTTAATGTGTAGGTATATATAAATATAAAATATAATAATTAAAAATATTAATTAGTTATTTTAAATTAATATAAATATAAGAAAAGTTAAATAACTAATAACAAAATATAATTAAGAAACACTAGTTTATTTATTAAAACTAAAATTAAAAGAAAACATATATTTTTGAAAGTTTTTATTTCTTTTTGAATAAATTCAAAAATAAAACTTACCAAAAAATGTGATTCTAAAGTCAATTAAAATAAACTTAATAAAATAAGATAAAAGTCAAAATATTTAATTTAGATTTTTATAAATTATTTAAGCTCTAAAAATGGTGTAAAACTTAAGTTCGATAAAAAATTACGTGTCTACATCCATGCCTAACCCATGTCTAGAAAGATGAAATTGATGTAAGTGGGTTTTATGCCATGAAAAGGGAAATTGTAGATTGCTTGAGAGTAAAGCATATAGACATGAATTTCTTGAGAATAAAGCTTATATGATGAATGATGATTATTAAGGCTTTGAGAGTAAAGCTTATATTATGAATGTTGATTTGTAGATAGAATTATTGTGGAAGGATTTACCCACATGATCTACTCTATGAATGTATGAATGTATAAATGTGAAAAGTTCTCTCACATAGAATGATTCTAGGTTGAAAGTCTTGCTCACCTAAAATGAATCTAAGTCAAAGGACTATGAGAATTGATGAGGCTTGAGGTGATTTCCCAAGACTTCCATATGAGAGGGATATAAGGTGATCTCCCACATTCCTAAGTTGGAAAATATGGGGTGATTACCCATGCCATGTAATGATGTACATGAGGTGATTACCCATGTCATGTGATGATGAATGTGAGGTGACTAGCCTTATTATATAACTTTAAGAAGCAAGGCAAGAGGTGAATACCCTTTAGCCTTTATACCAAGGACATGGAGGCGAATACATATGATCCTTATAAAATGATGTGGAGGCGAATACCAATGTCATACCATGTTGGACATGGATGCGTATATCTATGATCCTTATAAAATGATATAGAGGAGAATACTTATGTCATATCATGTTGGACATGGAGGTGAATACCTATGATTCCTTAAAATGAACATGGAGGCGAATACCTATGATTCCTTAAAATGGACATGGAGACAAATACCTATGACTATACAAGTAAGGCAAGAGGTTAATATCCATTAGCTTTTATAATAGGCATAGAGGTGAATCCCCATGTCTTGAAAAAGTAAAGCAAGAATAATGTGAATTATGTTATGAAGAATGAATAGTTTGGATTGTTGCTTGAATGGCCTTCCATGAGATGTATGACTAGAGGTGATGACCCAAGTCTTGACCAATGATGAGTGAGGTTACTTCAAGAAGTGTTCCTCTTTTATTATAATGACTTATGTGCATTGATTATGTTTATGACTTATGTTGTTATCTCTTATGTTTATGGTATATGTCTTATGTTGACTAATGTCTATGATATGCCTATGTTGATGTTTATGCTAGTCATCATATTTAGTACATTTTTGTACTATCCAAATGTAAGGGCGATATCGACTCTCATCCCCGTGGCTAGGATCATAGTAGATCGAGATTTGAAGATTGGTGAGTCCTCATAGTATTCGAGGATTTGACCACCATTTTCTTATGTCTTTCATCTTATATTTAGAACTATTGTATGGGCTGTGTCCTAAGATATTCATGTTTTAGATGGTTTGAGACAAAGTGTAATAGACTTCCGCTTTGTTTTATGAACTTTAATGTTGTTTTAAAATGTTTTAAATTTCCGCTCATTTCTACTACTTTATATTATGAAAGCTAAATGGCTTATATGAGACCTCTCGGGGTCTTGTACACCTTGTTACATCTAGGGGGGTACCCCTGGATCGTGACATTTGTTGAGTAAGTGATTTATTCACCATAGTGTCTCTCTATGGTGTGCTCCTGTTCTGTTTGTGAGGAAGAAGGATAGAACCATGATGATGTGTACTGATTACCGATAGTTAAACAAGGTAACAATGAAGAACACGTATCCTCTTCCCCGTATTGATGATTTGTTTGATCATTTTTAGAGTGCATCTCCATTTTCTAAGATTTATTTGAAGTTCGAGTATCACCAGCTAAAGATTAAGGCATCAAACATCCCGAAGAAATTTTTTAGGACCCATTATGGGCATTATCAGTTTCTTGTGATGTCTTTCAATTTAACTAACGCCTATGCAGTGTTCATGGAGATGATGAACGGGGTGTTCTGACCTTATTTGGATTCTTTTACGATAGTTTCATTGATGACATCTTAGTGTACTCCAACACTGAGGAGGATTATGATCACCATTTGAGGATTGTACTCTGGATAGAGATTGAGGGAAGAGAAACTTTATGCCAAGTTCTTAAAGTGTGAGTTTTGGCTTGATTTTGTTGTATTTTTGGGATACATGGTGTCCAAGAAGGGTATTCGGGTAGATCCATCCGTGATCGAGACAGTTCGAGGTTGGACCAGTCATATGTCAGTTACTGAGATCTAGAGTTTTTTGGGACTTGTAGGCTATTATAGACAATTTTGTAGAGTTTCTCTATTACTACATCTCCTTTGACCAGATTGACTCGACAAATTGTGAGCCTTTAGTGGTCTGATGAGTGTGAGGAGATTTTTCAAAATCTCAAGACCTTGTTGACCTGGCTCCTATTTTGACTTTACCCGAGAAAGGTGTGGACTTCACTATTTATCGTGATGCTTCTGGAGTCAGGTTAGGTGGTGTTCTGATGTACAAGGGTAAAGTGATCGCCTATGTTTCTAGTCAACTGAAGTCCCGTGAGAAGAACTGTCCTACCCATGATTTAGAAGTTGTTGCTGTAGTATTTATGCTTAAGATATGATGACATTATCTGTACGGGGTTCATTGTAAGGTCTTCATGGATCATCAGAGTCTTCAAAACATCTTCAGTCAGAGGGATCTGAACTTGAGGCAACACAGATTGCTTGAACTATTGAAGTTCTACGACATCACTATCCTGTATCATCCAGAGAAGGCTAATGTGGTGGCAGATTCTTTGAGTATGAAAACTGCTTGCATCATGAGTCTTGTCGATAATATTGTAGAGAAGAGACCATTGGCTAGAGATGTTCAGAGATTAGCCAACAGTCTCATTTGATTACAGATTTATAAGGAGACGGGTGGTTTGATTGACTTTTATAGAGGCTCGTTCTTACTTAGTTCAGCAAATCCGTGAGCGCTGATTTGCTGACAAAAAATTGTAGCTCATTCAAGATAAGGTGATGAGAGGGGAAACCAAGGAGAATATCCTTGATTCTGAGGCTATCTTGAAGATTGAAGGTAGGATATGTGTGTCAAAGGTGGGCGAGTTGATTAGATTGATTCTTGAAGAGGCCAATTATTCTCGATATATTATATATTTGGGGGCAACGAAGATGTATCATGATGTGATATAACACTATTGGTGGTGTGGTATGAAGAAGAATATTGCATATTTTGTTTCTAGGTGTTTGATGTCCTAACAAGTCAAGTTTGAGCAGCAATGTCTCGGAGGTATATCTCAATGGATACCTATTCCTACTTGGAAGTGAGAATGGATAACTATGGACTTTGTTGTGGGACTACCTACCACCGTGGGTGGTTATGACTCAATTTGGGTGGTTGTTGACAGGTTGACCAATTCCAACTATTTCATACTGGTTCAAGTGAAGTATACAATGGAGAGGTTAGTTGAGTTTTATATCAGTCACATTGTGTGACTACACGAAGTCGCGGTTTCTATTGTCTCTGATCGAGGTTCTTTGTTCACTTTCTATTTTTGGAAGGCATTATAGTATGGTTTGGGTACTCAGTTAGATATGACAACAAATTTTTACCCTCAAACAGATAGTCATATTGAGCTTGTGTGATCGGTTTTGGTGCTAGATGGGATCAACGTTTACCCTTAGTAGAATTTTCCCTTAACAACAATTATCACTCCAGTATTCAGATGGTCCTTTTGAGGCATTATATGACAGACGATGTAGATCTCTGATCAGATGGTTTTATTTAGCTGAGATAGACTCATTAGATACATACTTGCTTAAAGATGCTATGGAGCAGGACCGTATGTGTCACACCCCAAATCCGGATGTGATGGCACG